GAGAGATGTTGACCTGGTTTGACATGGCTGTTCACCTGGGGGTAACACTGTCATGTCAGATCAACACCTTCCTGAAATTTCATCTCAGGAGAGTGGTGAACAGGAGTTTGGTGGAGTTGTTCAGTATACAGGTCAATGAATTTGGACGAGGAACAAAAGATAATTTAGGTGAGGTGTTCGCTAAGGTCAAAGACAGCACAGCAGACCTCTGGTTAAGTGAACAAAAATCAGAAAGACCGCAGGAGGAAAGAAACAAGTGTATGACAGGAAAAGTATGGTCAGGGCTGGAGAAATCTTGGCAAAAATGTATCAGGTCTTTTTTGGATTTCCAAACTAGACCAGAGTTTTGCACTTGACATAGTTTCACATTTACCAAGTGCACAAGTACTTCTGTTTTTACTTTAACTGTCTTGCAGTTGCATCATTGTGCCATTTTAGGATTTTCGTAATCAAACTCAGGACAGGACTTTTACATTGGAAGTTTTTTTCCCACTGCATTTATCATCAAAGTTGAGCTCAGGTACATCCCATTTCCACTGATCATCTGCCACTAGAGTCCACCTGTGGTAAATTCAGTTGATTGGACATGGTGTGGAAAGGCCCACATTTGTCTATATGAGGTCCCATAGTTGACAGTCCATTTCAGAGCACAAACCAAGCCATGAAGTCCAAGTCTGTAGACCTCAGAGACAGGAGTGTATTGAGGCACAGATCTGGGGAAGAGTACAGTTTCTGCAGCAATGAAAGTCACAGTAAGCAGAGTGACCTCCATCCATCCATTCGCTTCCGCTTATCCTTTTCAGGGGCGCTGGAGCCTATCCCAGCTGTCATAGGGCGAGAGGCAGGGTACACCCTGGACAGGTCGCCAGTCTGTCGCAGGGCCAACACACAGGGACAGACAACCATTCACACTCACATTCACACCTAGTGACAATTTGGATTATCCAATTAACCTATCCCCACAAGTGCATGTCTTTGGACGGTGGGAGGAAGCCGGAGTACCCGGAGGGAACCCACGCAAACACGGGGAGAACATGCAAACTCCACACAGAAAGACCCCGGCCTGATGGTGGAATTGAACTCAGGACCTTCTTGCTGTGCGGCAACAGTGCTAACCACCGTGCCACCATTATATGTAAATTGAAGAAGTTTGGAACCACCAAGAATAACTGGCCGCCCGGCCAATTTGCCACACTCCACTAGTCAAGCCTGTAACAGAGCGGCCATACAGAAGCCTCTCTTCAGTAAAAGGCACGACAGCCCACCTGAAGGCAAAAAGCACCTGAAAGTCTCTCAGACCATGAGAAATCAAAAAAAAAATAAAATAAATTCTCTGGCCTAATGAAACCAAGCTTGAACTCTTTGCCCTGAATGCCAAGAGTCATGTCTGGAAGAAACCAGGTACTGTTCATCAGCTGACCAATACTATCCCTACAATGAAGCACTGTGGTGGCAGCATCATGTTATTGGGATGTTTTTCAGGAGCTGGGAGGCTACTCAAGGTCAAGGAAAAGAGGAATGCAGTGATGTACAGCGACATCCTTGATGATATCCTGCTCAAGAGCACTTTAAACCTCAGACTGGCGAGGGAAGAGGGGGGGGGGGGGGGGGGGGGGTTCTCGTTCCTTTGTTAATGTTCCAGCCAGAAGCTAGACTTGAACCGACTTAACATTCTGGAGAGATCTGAAAATGGCTGAGGACCAATGCTCCCCACCATGACCTTGAGAGCTTCTGCAATGAAGAATGAGAGAAGCTGTCCAAAAATAAACCACCATTCTAAAAATGACTTGAGCCTGTAATTGCTGCCAACTGTACTTCAGCAAAATATTAAGCAAAGGCTGTGACTGTTTATATACATGTTGTATGTTTGTTTTTAATAAATTTGCAAGAATTTGAAGCAAATTTTTTCCCCTTTGCCATTAGAGGATATTGTGTTTAGGACATTGAGGTGAAAAATTAATTTCATCCATTTTAAATAAGGTTGTAAACATGACAAAATGTGGAACGAGTGAAGTGCTGTTGCAAAGACCATGAAACATGCACTGCTGAGCTGAACATTAACTAACCCACCATAAACTCTGATATGCAAGGGTTGCTAGTTTAAGATTAATGTGTTTTAATTGTACATTAAACATACAAACATAAACACAGAGGCCTATTTGTTACACACAAAGATTAAAATGCACTTATATTTGTGCTACGACTACTTGTCATTAACTGCAGTGACCGCTTCATTGACTACACCTGCATTTCCTGTATTTACAGTAAGTGCCCCGACATTAAAATGTAACCTCTCAAACATGAGAAACTAAAATACTTGCTGCCAATTTTAACTTCACTTTTTACACCCAAGCGCTTTCTGAGAGTACAACAACACCACAAAAAGTTTTTTGGTCCTTGCTAAAAGTGTGTTGCTCGAGGATTTTAGCCCACTGTGCATATGAGTCTTTCACTTCTGCAAAACTTCTACTTCCTCTGTGATGGGGACAAAAGGCAACTTGTTTTGAGTGAGGCATCGCCTTTACAGTAATTACTTGATAAAAGCTGCTAGAAGAGAGCTTGTTTAACTGTAAGTTTGTTCTGATTTTGATCATGAGTCTCTTTCTCTCTTCCCCATTTTACCCTGTGACCAGTTAGACAGTGAAAGAGACACATGAGCGCATAACACACATCAGCACTTTTATAGAGACTTACATCACCAACTGTCAATTCTATCAGCAAAACCAACATGTATTATTTTTCTAGTTAAGTACGCTGGTATAATAACTTACTTTGGGATCTCGAAGGAACAGAGCCTTTTGCAGCAGTGAGTTGATGTCTCCTATTGGGGGGTAGTGCATTAGGAGGCCCAGGCATGTCTGGAAGTTGCTAGCAATTACTAAAAAAAGAAAAACAGATTTAAGAGGAATCTTAAAAAAATAAAAATAAAAATCTGGTAACAGCTTGTGCTTTGCTTTAATCAAGTGTGAATCACCAAGAGTGTTTCAAGCTGTAGTCTCACTTCCTTAGTGTTTTCTATTTGACTTATTTGTCACAGACTAGAATCTGCAGTCCAAGAAAAACAAAGCTAAACAAAAAGAGTCCACAAAATATCAGAATAAAAAAAAAAAAAGAAGTCTGAGACTTATTTTCATTATTTAAAAAAAAAAAAAAAAAAAAAAAAGTGCGAATGGACAAGCTTCATTAACTGCAGACTGAAATTGCATTGTGTTACATTATTTTGGCTCATTGGCATAACAGTAGCACTTATACAAGCAGAACTGCAGTCTATGCTATTTATATGAAAAGATCAATTGTAGTCCAAAGTAATATAACTCTGTCTAACTAAATGAGCCGGAGTAAATCACAGTTTTCCACTTATGTATGCCTTACGAAATTACATGCTACAAAGACAACACATGGCATTATTGGATTATTTAAGTAAGAAATGGTGCGTACGAGCATCTCGGATATAGAGCAGCATGGCCACAAAGATGTAGTCCACAAGGTCTAGAGTGATACAATCAGCAAAAAGGGCATCCCACACCACCAGCAGGTCCTGAAGAGGAAATTCCCGGCCAAACAGCAGACGAACCCACCGGCTAAAGACACAGAAAAAAAAAGAAGCTTTACTGCATTTGTGTCCAGCAGTGGATCAGGAGAAAAAAAAAAAAAAAAAAAAAAGTCAGACTGCCCAAAGATGTAAATACTGACATCCCGTAGATCTGCGGGGCGATCTCCAGCCGATTGAGATGCATGTGCAGCTCGATATCGTGCTTCTTCACCAGCTGGTCCTGGATGCGGTTGACTTTGGTTACTATGGCAACAGATGGCCCTGCATCCTGGGGTCGAGCGAATGGGATGGTGGTCAGCATTTCTTCTTTACCCTGGGGAAGCAGATTGTTCCATCACAACTGAAATATCTTCATGCAAATATAAATGAGGAAAATCAGCAACAATGAGGAGCTGCAGTATCCTTTTGGGAGGATATGCCATTCTGAGTTTTGTTAAGTATACTTGCTTTACTTTATTTAATTCAATAAGGTGGAGTTTAATTATTAGATCTTTTGATTCATATTAACAGGATAGGAGGATATCTGGTGACTGGAGGGCATTTGAGTACAGTGAAGTCATTGTCATGGCCATGACATCAGTTTGAGATGGGCTGAGGTCACATGATGTCTTATGCTGCTGGAAGCAGTCGTCAGAAGATCGGCACATTGTGCCCATACTGAGGTAGGCTGTGGACTTTAAGTGATGCTCGCAATGACAGTGGCGCAAAGGTAACAACAAAAAAACAAAACAAAAAAAAAACAAATTCCCCACAAAAATTCCCCACACTAAACTGTTCTTAGATGGTAGGTTAGATTCATGTTTGCAAGTTGTTTACACCAACATGAAAGAGCATAACATCTGAATGTTGCAGCATAAATTGCGACTTGTCGAATCAGGCTACAGTTCCCCTCCCATCAGCTCAAAGCAGTCTGGCCATTCTGTTCTGATGTCAACAAGAAATTATTGCCCAGAGAAATCCTGCTCACTGGGTATTTTCTCTTTTTCAGACTATTCTCTGTAAACTCTAGAGATGGGCATGCGGGAAAATCCCAGCATAGCAGCCGTTTCTGAAACACAGACCAGCCCATTTGGCTGTCACTGAAATCCCCTTTCTTCCTCATTCTGATTCTCCGTTTGAAATTCAGCAGGTCAACTTGACAATGTCTGCAAACCTAATTGCACCAAGTTGCTGCCATATCATTGGCTGATTAGATATCTGTGACAGTATAAAGCAAATTTGTCTCTAAGAGCTTTGAAGAGCCTCTACAGTCTGCTTAATTTGGAGTAGAAAAAGAAAAAAACTAATAAAAAAAGTTCACAAAACATGAAGTGTTTTAAGTAACAATTTGACTGACAGTCACTGATAATCATGGTTTCTGTTTGTTCCTGCACTTGTGCCACAAATCGGTTGGATACATCAAACAGATCCAGCTGCTCGTCTGCATTTCTGACAACGAAGCCTCTCGTCCTATGTTCACTATAGTAATAAAAATGCAATTGCTGCTACCATGGTAACCACCTGAGTGGTCAAATTAACCAGGACTGAGCTCTTCAACATTGTAATTTAGCGTTAATATAATGTCATGTCTTCATGACAGTGCAATCAGCTGGTATTGTGTTACAATCCACAATCAATTTCAGTGTCAAAAGTAGTTTTTCAAATTAGAACAGACCTTCCTCACTTCCCTTTCAAAGCTGGAGAACCACGGCTCTGCTGTCTCCATTAGCTGCGAGAACATGGCACTACAGAGAGAGGCAAAGATAAATGTAGTGAGATTTTTTAAAAAGTATAAACATTTCTTATTCTGAACCCTTTTAATCGGCTGATACTTACTAGGCATCGTGCTCGAGGTACACTGGGTCTAACAGACACTTCATCTCCTCACTGGAAAAAAAAGTGAGAATCTTTCAATTTAATCTTTGGACAAATAAATACAAAAAATATGTTGTCATCAGAGAAGCAGGTCTGAAGGTGTTAATGGCTTTTCAGTGAAATGCAAACTGACCTGGGGCTGGCCGTCTCACTGGCATGCTGAAAGGCTTGATGGTCACAGTGCAGCACAAACACTATGGGAGCCAGCAACTCGTGCATCCCCTACAGACAGAAAAGCAGACAGAGGCAGAGAGAATGTAAGATGCATAAAAGGCAGAAGGGAGAGGAAACAAATACAGTTCAATTGTGGTCAGTCTTTCTTTAATAGTGATGCACGAGGTTTCTAATCCGTCATGACAGGTTTAATTTAGATATTGTTAGCCACTACTCAGCCATGTGTCACTTCCAGTTTGTAAAAAAGATGCTACGCTGGCCATCTATTCACAGGCTGGCACCTGTTACAGACACTTGTAATGCTTAGGTTACAAAGGCATTTTGTTCTGTGTGAGCTTGTTGAACAAACACACGGGACGATGTTGAATGTTACCTGTTTGTATAGTAACTGCTCATTTTCTCTGGCATAACAGAAGAGAATATCAGTCAGCTTGGTCCTCACATCTTCATCCTGGAAGTATCGGATCTCAGGGAATCTAATCCAAATACAAAAAGAGCAATTTTTTTTTCCTGCCATGTTAATAACAGAAAAAAAAAATAAATCAAATAGTAACAGAGATACTTACGTTCTCAACACATCCTGCTTGACCATTCCCTTTAGCTCTTTATCCTGGAAGAACTTATTCCACAAACTCTGGATGTGACAGAAAAAAAAAATCACATTCAGAAAATCAAGGGAAGAGATTGTTGTCATTACAATGACAATATGTGTAAATCTATATGTTAAAAACCAATATGTCATTGACAGTATCAATAATTATTAGAAGGTCACAAAGTGTCAAAGTGTCAGGGTCATATTTTGCACATAACCATGAAACATTTGTGGAGAAAACTCACCCCCTCATCCTGGGACAGTGGGTTGTTCACCACAAGGTCCTGCTGGCCTGCGGCCTTGCGGGGGTTGGTAATGTGCTGTGACAGAAAAAAAACAAAACAAAACAACAATAATGCACAACAATTAATTACAACCTTTGATTTGATAAGTGATCAGTTTTTTCCCCTCATGGGCTGCATATTGTGCTCCGTGTTTCAGGATATAAGCAGCTATAAATTCTACATATGAATGAACAGTGAGGTTAATGGAGAACATTTATATCTTAGAACCACACTGGCCACAGATGGGTGCTCTCACCATCTCCTTGATCTTCTCATACTGGCCCCGGAGCTCCTTTGTCTTGTTTATCCACTGCTCTTTATCCTCTGGAAGAACCTCCAGGTACAGCTATAGACATGCAATGCACATATCAGCCCATGCAACAGTTCATCTTTGAGAAATCACTAACATGCAGAAAAATCCGCCCTTTCAGAACTACGCTCGAGGCTGTTATATCCACTGAGGAACAAGTCTGTAAGCCACCAGAACTTCCCTTTTCTGTGACAGGGAATTTGCCAAAGCCCCCTTAATCAAACTCGATAGGACCGCTTGATCCAGCTGGCAGTTACCTTCCAGCACACACTCCGAAAGCGGCTGCTCCTCAGCCGCCCATTGATGCCTGCCTGCCGGATCCTGGCCAGGTAATTACTGTTGAGAAACAAGTCGTCCCATTCTTTCCTGCATTGGGGAGGGGGTGGTGGAGGCAAAGCATGATTTACCAGCTTCAACTCAACTTGGGCAACTTGTGTCATCAAGCAGTAAACAAACAAGATAAGAAGCTAAGAGAAGTGGGCCACGAGTTCACGATACCACCATGAAGGGATATTAACGGAATAACTCACCTATATGAGAGAAAGGTAGAATGAGACTCCGAAGTGCTGCTGTCAAGAGATCCTCCTACTGAGAACAGACACAAGGGGGAGATGTAAACAACAAGTGCTAGGGTGTCAAAGCAGAAATAAATAAATAAATAAATATCTATCTATATATATCTATATATATCTATATATCTATATTTATTTATTTATTTATTAGACGAGGCTGTGACAGAGCAACAGAAATGCATACTTAGACAATTTTACTGCATCACAATAACCCATCAGTTATTCTTTTACAAGGCACGCAGTAGAGCAAAAAGGGGAGCAGAGAAGGTGATTAAAGGAAGTAAAGTAACATACTCTGTTTCTTCTTTATTGGCCGTAATAAGTCTAATTTGGCCTGCAGGTGAACATGCATTGAAGTTGGAGAGCTGTCTATCAGCATTAGTTACAGGAGTGGATCGCTCCACAGGGACGCTCAGTATGAATATTCATCAGTTCCACAACATGCCAGCCACCAACGTTTTCTTTCAGTCACACGTTAACATAAAAAACACACTCAGCCTGGGGGTGTCGCAAGCCACATCTGTGACTCACACTTCAGTCAGCTCAAAATTTTCTTTTTAATCATCTCCAGAATGAACCTAAAACTTATCATCTCCATTGTTGTGAGTCTGTTAGTCCCAAAAGGACTGCAGCATTGGTATATTATGATGTGGGTCTTGGTCCAAGGAAGGGGAAATTGTTATAGATAACACCTGTAACCAAGGTTTGGAAGTCTTAACTGAAAATTGACATACTGTTTTCATTCTTGTTGAAACTCTGGAGCGCGTCAAAACCTGTCTCCTGATGATCTTCACTCTGGAGTGGATGGCGGGTCTCAAAATTGGGATGCTGCATGACTGCGACCCAGCTGGACCTGGAGAATGAGGTAGCAGGTAAGAGCAAAAAAGAGAAAGATATAAAGAAGAAAGATAACTGAACACGATCTCCCAAAAAGTCCTGGTGTTAAAGCACAAACTAAACTTATTTCTTTTAACAGGGACACAGAGCTTCAGTTTCAGCTTCAGAACCTGTCCTGACTTTGCCAACTTTTCATGAACATTGTAGCCTCTGACCTCTTTTTATATAACAGTGCTGGCAAATCAGTCCACCGCAATCAGCAAAGTTTCTCCAAGCACACCATTTGATCTCGGTACTTACTGTCACAGCTTTGTGTTTCTCGTCAGTTGAGACTCAGAAGGAAAGGATCGTTTCTGCAAGTAGAGGGAGAAGGACTGATAATAAAGGGGAAATGAAGGACAAAGCTGCTAAAGGGCCAAAAATGACTCAGTGAAATATAATACAGTAGAGCAGAAGTAGGCAGCATAGGAAGAAAATTAAAAGACGTTGGTGAAAGAAATGCTTTGTAGAAATACCCAGCACTAAAGACGTAGACTAAAGTGACTGCAGATGCATTTCATAGTGAAGAATAAATCCAACAATTTATTTCTCAAAAAGTATTTTCATGAAGGAGCGACTTGATCAAAATTTGCTTTTTTGAGTTTGATACTGATTTTCAGCAAGTAAAACTACTGAAATATGCTTTATATAGTAAATTAATGTAGTATGTCAGGAAAAAGTCAATGTTTCAAGCAATGCTTAAAAAAAAGAAAATAAAAAAAATAGCAGGGTTGTATTTTTAGTTTTTTTTTCCTACACTGTGGCAATCGCACAAAGGGATACGGCATAGTCTCCCTTCAAATGTATTATTTTCAACTTAACATAAAATAAAACACTGACATTGATTACAGTCAGTGAAGAATGGCTGAAATTAACAAGAAGCACTTGAGCTGCCTGATGTTCCACGGTGCTCTTTGTGATACATTGAACATAACTGGTGAAGCTAATGAGGTCATTAAGTAGGCAAATTAATGCATTAATTACTGATGTTTAATGTGAAGAAACTTGTCTTCGCGTGGCTCACGGACAGCAGTGTTTCTGAAACAAAAATCAGCTCTGGCGAGCGGTCAGGACGGGACTTCCGGGGAGCGATCCAAATGCAGGAGGAATGTTGGACGTGGTGCTGAGATTCACAAAGAGACAACCTTCAAGGCGATGATGGATATGACTCTAATTTTAACGGGCACCGTGCCTTCCTCTTTGATCACACCACAAATTAATCTCCGTGTGATAATAATGTAATATTGTTTTTCTCTGTTTTGACTGTAAATTAACGACCAAACATATAATACGAAGAAAACAATTTGAAGAAGTTAGGAGAAACTTTTCCTTTGTTTCCCCCCACCCCCTATGTTCATTTTTCACATAGAAATACATTAATTGATTCATCTTAAAAAGAGAGGATGAATAGAAAGATTTCCCAATGATTTAATGCCATACTGAGTGCTTTACCAGAACAGAAAGATGGATTCATTAAAAATAAATAAATAAATTCCAAGAAAACACAAACAAAAAACCCCACTATTAATATCCCGACCAGGTAAACCGTGAGCCAAGTACTCGCTGCCAACTTCTGAGAGAAGTTTACTTTTTCTGTGAGACATCACAATCTAGGTTAACCAATCCTGCCTTCGTTCTTTATCCGGCTTGGGATTATTCCATGTTTATGAATATGTTTAGCCTAATGCGCAGGCCTACAGAATAGCACGTGCCCACAAAGCATTGTGTTTTCTTTCGATTTAATAATTGTGGAAATAACACAACAAAGGCATCTCTTAAACCAATTAACCATGTGAATGAAACACTGCTTGATAAATTAGCTACACATGCCATCAAAATAGAAATTATTTTATATGCATAATGTATGCGGCTGTTTTCACGGGGAACATCTGTTCTACTCGAAGACTAATGCTCTCCTTAAATCTGTGTGCTCCCCCCCCTCCCTGCTTTCCTAAAAAGGACATTATCCTATCAAATAATCGGCACGAGTCCACAACTATGGGAAAAAACAAACCCCCTCCAGAAGAATGGTGTGAATAGGTGTTTCCAATAATAGCATCTTCTGCTTTCAAAGATTGGCATCAAAGATTTAAAGTCTCCTGAGTGAATACAAATACAAGCAGTAGTCATCTTGCATAGAATATTAATTCATATGATCACTGTGACCAAAATTACTCATGCAAAGTACTTTGAAAATTCTTTTCCCTACAGTCTTGTAGTCACATTCGTCGCTTTGTCTCTTCTTTCCAAAAGTAAAAAGTGACTCTAAACTTTAGAGATCACTCATCCCTACTTGTTCTTTGCATAGGCATATCTTATGTGCGTGTCTCCGCAAGCCTTTCCGAGCGAGTGAAAGATGACGCGGGTGTTCGTCTTGAGGCCTCGCCGTGTTAGCACAGCCTTGCCTGAAGCGACTCTTCTCTTAGCCTTCTGCTGCTTTCATTACTTTTTCCCGGAGTCGAACGTAAAATGACATCCCAACTTTACTACATAATAATCAAGGCAAATTAGCTTCTGCATAATTTAATCCACGGCACCTGGAGACACCTCAATAATTCAAAGCACGAATCTTTCATGAAATAATCAAATCAATACATAATGAAATGCATAAATAAATCAACAGGCAAATAACAGCGAGTCCATCTGTTCGGAGGTAGAAGAGCACTTACTGGGAATTGCTAACAAAAGCTTGCAAAGCTAAACTCAAACTGTAGCAGTGACATCATCCTGTGTTCGTTTTGCAGATTTTTTAGGATTTGGCTTCTTTAAGTTCTTACCCAAGATGGGATTTCAAATGAGCTATGCTGATGCCCGGGACTGTGGGAAGCACACTGAAATGATTTCAAAATTAAGCATACAGCCTCACTCTAAACCTCAATCCTTAATAGTCTTCCACAACGCGTGCAACATAACAGTTCACTTTTCATTTCCCATCACACACATTCGGTCTGAAAGTGAGCTTAAAAACTACAGACTAACACTTCCCATTTGATCTAAGCCAAGAAGCATCACATTTTAAACAGAGCCCACAGTATGCTCAACTATAGGGTCATGATTTTATCTTTGGGGTCTGCTAGAACAGATTTCCACATCTTGGCATGTTTTCATACCATACTGTACACTTCTGCAGAACCTCCTTTTACCAGCTGTGTGAAATGCCTCATTTTAGATGGTCTCTTTACTACCGCCCTCCAGGGAAAGCCTGTCTGCTCTGATAGTTGGGCAACAGCAAAGCAACTGTTCTATGAAGCACATGGGTTGTCTTTCAGAGAGCTGTGCAGTGGTAATGACTCCCCAGAGTTAAACATGTTTAAATTAAAATTAGAACCAGAACAATGAGTGATTCCTGTCCACTTGCCTTTATTACACAGTGCACTATTTGAGCGATGACATTGTGGTTTCCAAAATTACCTCATTTTGGACATGCGTACCAGAGAACATTAACCAAGAATCCAGCTGAGTTTGCGTTTCAGTGACGGACAATTAAAAAGACAGACGTAACTTCTGAAGGGCCTTCAACCTGCATTCAAACTTCAGACCACCAGATGGCGATATCTGTGGTTGCAAAAACACTTTTGGTGCTGTAGAAATCTATGGGAAAACTGCTCTAACTTGATAACAGCCAAACAACGAAGAGCAAATTACTGCGTAAGAGACAGTCTACTGACCACAACCAACCAACCCGGTGATGACATGTTCTGTACGGGCATGGCTCTAAATATGTTTTAAAAACTTTAAGCGCTTATTTCTTAAATGCAGCTTTGCAGACAGTGTTACATCTATGTCAGTTTTTGAGAGCAGGGCTCCTCGGTGTTACACATAAAGTGTTTCATGTAAATTTAAAAAAGAAAAAGAAAAACAGTGAGAGGGAAAACCGTAATCTCAAGAACTCAGAAGTTGATCGATGACCTCATGGTACGCTTTTATATCATCTATGGTTGCAGCATCCAAGCTGCTTTTTTTTTTTTTTTTTTTAAAGGTTTACACAATTTCTGGTTGTCCCTATAAGACACAAGATCAAAGCTAGCAATGGTAATCAGAGACATATTACTCTTAACACCTTAAACAGATTGCCAGTTTATTGATCTTAGTTAACTGACTTAATAACTACGTTAACTAGTTAACCAAATTAATTAGGTAAATTTATGGGGGAAGAAGCCAGAGTATCTGGAGAAAACCCACAGAGAGATGGGGAGAACATGAAAACTCTATAAAAGTCAAGGCCAGCTGGGGTGGATTCAAACCCAGGACCTTGGTGCTGTGTGGCAACTTCAACATGTAAAGCTGACTCTGCAGACTGATGTCTAATAAATATACTTCATGGAAAATAAATAAATAAATAAATATATATATATATATATATATATATATATAATATATATATATATATATATAATATATATATATATAATATATCATTATAATATACTATATATATATATATATATATATTTTTTTTTTTTCCCCCCCCCCAGGCTATATAAGCTGGAAACTAAACCCAGATTAGTCAGTTGTATTAAACATTTTGCTGAAGTGCCTGCAGTATTTCCATTTGAAGACATCTGACTGAACTGCAACTACAGTTCTGCTCTCCGCTCGGGGATATGCTTTTTATCATTTCGCATTCAAATTCAGATGTTTTTTTTAAAAGTAGTAATAAACAGTAACAGCTGATCCACAAGAGTCTCAGCAGTTTCATGTGGGGGGAAACTGCTTTTACAGGATGAATATTCAAAGAGGATCCAGCAAACAGCGCTAATAGGAACTGTCAATGGCAGCTTCAGTCAAGACAGCTGATTGTAGTTTAGCAACAGCGAAACACCCCAGCTAAACAAACTCACATGCCTCTACTTCAGCACACAGTGAGAGCTCAAGAGCCTTTATGGTCACATGCTCTGCAAGAGACTGAGAACATGTCTGGAACCTTAGCCTTACCAAAATTCCAAGAACTTGTTGGGTCCTGAAAGATTTAATTACCAAAGATAAAATCTGACAGACATCTGTCTGTACTGAAATGGACAACTCGTTAGTAACATGGGGGAAGAGGACATCCACAAAGAGTCGCAAGGTAAATCTAAAAAATGGGCATTTCTAAAGTGCCTTTTGGCTGATAAAAGCTATTCAGATAAAACTAAGGGGACATCTTGCCTGGACTACTCAATGACATTTACATGTAACCTCATATAAAAGACCACAAGTTAAACAAAAATAATAAAAACACCACCAACAACAACAGCTAGGAAGCATTGCACTAAAGGGAACGAAACTCTGAATGCACAGAAACACTCAAGTCAGCAAGTACTGAACATTTCCTCCAATATTATTAGCAGGCGGTGTGTTTAAGTCCCGGGTCTCGCTCCTTTCTAGTCCAAACGGCCTTTCTGCAGTCCACAGTGTCCTACAGAAAGATTCCCACACGGACATTTGTACTGAACTTCATCTTGGCAGTGTGGAGAAGTATGTGTGAAACCACACGAAACTACACAGGCAGGTGGTGTTAGCTGTTACCAAACCTCTGCACTGCCCTGAACTCGTCACTGAATCTTTCACCCATAGTTAGTCCTCCACTTAGCAAACCCACGATTAGCTGTTTTTCCCCACATTTTTTTGACATCGTAACTTACATCAATGACAAGGTCTGTCCAAATTGAAGCAAAACGTACACAGGGTCCGTCTGGGATGCAGCACGAATGGAGGCTGCCAGGAAGATGATCGAAGCAGAGGGGGCTTAAAAAAGCAAAATAAAACGCCAAACAGCAGCTAAGCTAGCTTGTATCGTCCGTCGGCTAGCAAAGCTAAATATGAACTAAACTTACTCTGGCAGCTGAAGCTCTTCATGTTGATTGAATAAGAGTTGAAACGACAGGAAGCAGGAAGGCTAATATGACATTAGCTTAGCGAGCCAACTCGGGGCCCTGTTATTACTTCCAACACACACACAGCTTCTGCTTTAAACGAGACAAAGTTGCGTCGCACGCTCAGGAACTAGCACCAAAAAGCAATGCGTTAGCAGTTTTTATTCACGTACCTGTTCGGATCACGCAGGAAGCCTCATTCTGCTCACTCGGGCTCCGCTGATTTGTAAACAGTAGCGTGTCAGGCTCACTGGCTGAAGACCAGCTGACTGGTCACGTGACCCCCGGCCTGTGACGTTACTGATTGCCTGCAGGTAGCTGGTTGTTCTAGATTTGTCCAAAAGCTAAGCCTTACTTGCTTGTTAAATGCAAAGTAAGGGGGTCAATATATTTCAGCAAAACTGTGCAATAATGTTGAATAATTATTCATTAATAACAAGGCTTTGTGGCATTACTTGTATAAGTTCTTTGTAATATATAGTGAAGTTATGCGTTCATTTCATTTGTGAAGATCTCTAGAAGATAGCAGACAGCAGGCTGCAAAGACAAGGACCCAAACAATTGGCTGCTGGAAGAGGATAAGCAACAACCAGTAAGTTTTAAAAAACAAACAAAGAAACAAAAAACAACCTGACTAAGCAAAGGTTGAACTTTTTATTACTATAACCAGTCTATGAAGAATAAATGCCCAGTAAATGACGCCTCTTAGAATTTGATAAGGCTTTAACAACTTCTGATTGAGTTCCAGTAATCTTCATAGCTCTGAATGAAACATGCAAGATATGAAGTTATTCATATTTCCACCAATAGGAATATCCATAGATGAGTTATGAGAGAGGACTGAGTCTCACAGATTGCACACTTACATGTCACAGATTGTACTTCTTCCCACAGCTCTGCACAGTCTCCCCACAAGGCAGGATTGCAAAAAAACAACAACAACAACAGCAAAAAACAAAAAACGGAGACTACTCCAGCTACTTTAGATTGCAAAGATAAATAGACAGAGGAGATTGCAAATTCAGTTACCGATTTATCAGCACAAAGATTATGCCTTTCAGTTCACTTATCTGCATCAGCTAAAACATACTGCTTTGTAAAAGAAAAATATGGGTGGTAAGGCTGTAAAAAAAAAAGAATAATGATCTTAATCTGTAATGGCAACATAGAATGTTGAGGTGGATCACACCACCAAGGAGAAATAAAAAACATCATTGAATGAGGAAGAACACCGAAGGGGCTACACAACGTGATGGCTAATTAAAACAGTTTTATGTAGACTTAATTACAGCAATTTCTGAGGTCAAACAAGTCAAGTTTATCCGTGGAGTGCTTTTAACAAATCGCTTTATCACAAAATGCTTCCAATATACAAAACACAAGATGCACAAAAATATAATTAAATCAAAGCAGCGAGATGGTCACAATGGGGAAAAGCGTAAATCCACCTGGTATGTACAGGTGGAGCCGTTAAATAACATTGCTGATTCAAATGTACAAATGTGTACACTGGTGGTGGTGCTGTGTTTGTGCATTGATGGGGGGTTAACACAAAGCAGGAATAATGACCATTATCGCTATTACCATCATCATCACAGGCATGGCATTTCAAGAGCACCATTATCATCATTATTATAGCTAATATTACTGATGATGAGGCCTCTTTGTTGGCCCTGACTAAGGTATTGTCATGGAAACAGATGACAGAAAAGAGCATAGCTTTATTGAATTACACTATGATGCTATTCTGACCAAATGGGGCTTGAATGCTGCACTGTCTGAGTGGGGTATAGAAGCATCAATGTGAGAAGTCCTGAGGAGCGACAGATGAGAGTCAGGAGCAGAGAGCGGGAGACAGAAACACAGATGAAAATAGCTCTTCGTGCAGATCAAATAAAAGAGGAGCAAAAAGAGACAGAAGACAGAAAACTCCAGCAGTACTGAGGGTCATGTGATTGCAGGGAGTCACAGATCCACTGGTACAGAGTGAACTGGTGATCAGCACAGAGGAATATTGTCTGATGGCTGGAAACAATGACACCGATTCACCAGCACAGGGACAGTCATACAAAAGAAAATCATTAGTACTAATAACAATAATACAGACAATGGGCATAACAAGGGTTGATTGATTCAGTCTTTAACAGATCTGTTACAACAGGCTTAACATGGTCACCTGATGAATGAGCTTAATCTTTTTATGTATTTATTTTTGCTTCTCTTACTTGATTCGTAGTGTCTTTTAAAGTATTTCATCCTTTCTTCATATCCAGCTCTTCACATTGCTAACATCCCAATGCGGTATTTTAGTAAGTGCAAATGTAATCTAGAGGCAATATGCTACTTAAGATGAATGCAACCCTCTTTTTATTGTCAGAAAGCAGTAATAGCACGGTGGCCTTCCAGCTATCTTAGCCGCTGCAGATTTTATCACATGGGGGCCATAAACCTGGGAAATATGATGTGCCACTTTCTGTTTTACTTTTAATATATCTGATGAAAAGAGCTTGCCAGAGATGATTCTAGATTAACTATTTCCTGCCATTATCAAAAGATAAATCTTGCCTAAATCTTTATTATTGTCACTTAAATTTTGTGAAAATGGTTTTCTTCTGAAAGATGACCATGCTGAAACAGATTAAAGCAACCAAAAATATACTTGTGATATATGGAGCTCCAAGAGTGACAATGAATTAAATACACCATTAAATGATTAATTAAATGTGTCAATAATTAATTTAAATTGGAATTAATTAATTAAATAAATATTGATGACACATTTAATTAATAAATTATTGACACATTTAATTATTTATTTATTTCACATTTTAATTAATTATTGACACATTTAGCTAATTTTAATTGATCTGATCAAGTCAAAACCATTGCTTTGGCCTGGTGGCCATTCTTTTTAGTGGGCGTTTCTCCACACCAGCAACTGGCATGTGGAAACTAACTGAACTGTACTTTGAAAAAAAAAAAAAAACCTGTTTGTGTGTCACCAAATACACTTTTAATATTTTTATTTAGCTGACAATGTAGTGGTTTAATCTTCAGATATCTGGTCAGTTTGTCAAAGAGCCTCTTTGCAAAAGTGCTTCGACGATTTCGGAGATGTCCGCCCAGCTCACGGCAAAGTGTGTGATAGACCTGCTTGCATCGCAAATGCTCGAGCTGTTATACCGCCGACAAAGCTCAGGTCCTGGTACACAAATGTCATAACCTCCACTGACTGTGCACCAACTTTATTTACTGAGGTTATATCTATCAGGTCTTTATTTCTTGATGTTCATATGTGTCATACTTGTTTTAAGTCGCCAATTCTGAATTATAACTAGCATTAACATATCTTTAAGGAGAGAGCAAATCTGATTAACATCTGATCTTTGTGTTTTTTGTTCAGTAATCAGCATGACCTGTGTATACACGCATAACCTTTATTCAAATAGATAATGTTGGTGTTTCCATCATGTAGTAACTGTACAAAGCTTGTTAGACACTGTGAAGCACAGACTTCACA